AAACATTAATATATTAAACAAAATTATAGCTATACACCTCCAATTAGTGTTGATAAGCGACTTGATCTTAAAAAACGCTAACCCAATATATTAGCCAAAAATTTTATGTAAGCCTGGAGATTTTGTTCATTGATGACAGAAAAGTTTGGACACCATCTATTATTGAAATCTCGAGCCTTGAAAATTTATTTTGGCTAAATTTAAAATTACCAAAATGGAGCCGTTTAACAACACTATCTCTAATCAATTTTTTAAGCTAGATATTTTTAAGTAAAGTTCATTTTTTTCTTGGTGTTAACTAACCACACTTTTTTATTTAAATAATTCCTGGCTGATATGAATTAAAAGGTATAAGTAAATATAGAGACTTATCTAAACCAACCCGAATTTTTTTTTATCTGGACCCGGACCTCAGAGCCTGTCTTAAATTAATATTAATAATAGAAATAGTATTTTAAATTATGATTATTATGGCCACTTATCGTTTTCCTATATTAATTATTATTAAATGGTTTTTATATATTGCTAAATAAAATATGTTCCAACAGGGAATCTATCTATATAAAATATTATAATTTGAATACATAATTCTTAGCTAAGCAAAAAATATGTGAACTATATTTTTGTTTAACAGCCTTATTAAATAAATTTTTTATTTTACTGGATTTAATCATTTGAATATGTACATTAACACAGTATAAACTATAATATATATATTTGAGATTTTCAAGAAAAAATAATTTGATAAATAAAAATTTGAGGATGAAGTGTCTAGGCAACCTCTATAACCACCTTCGGTCTTCCCCTGCCCCCTAATTTAATTTCATAAAAACGGTTAATTTTAAACGTCAATTTTTTTATCGCTAAATTAATTACCACCCACTTAATTATTATTTTCATATATCCCATATTCCTTTTGGTTTCGTGATGCACAAATTTCACTTAATTACTTTGCGCAAAATTAATTAGTCGCTTATTAATAATGCACTCTTCTATATCTCAATTTTCGCTCGTTTTGCTTCAGATTTTTAATATATTTTTTATCTTATCATTTTTTGAATTATTCATCATCGCGCCTTCACATATTTTTGCATTATATAATAAAACCTATTTGATGACAGAAGCCCAACGTCTTTATTTTCGTCGATCCATAACATGACTTTATTTCCTTTGTTTAATTCGGGTCAAATTTGATAAATTTCGCGTTATCCATTCGCGCTTCTTTTCATCAATTTTTATTTTCACATCTGGATATAAGTAGCCTTAAACATTCGCATTTGCGTTATTTTAATCAATTTTTTCATTTTCCCATCTGTTAAATTGATATATTTTTCTCACACGTAGTCGCGCCATTCACTCAAATTATTTGCTTTACATTCTAATATTTGGCAGTAGCTTTATTAATGACCGCTTTGCGATATTATAACTATGGCCACCCCCTTTGAACCCAAAATTTGCCCTTCCTGTCTGAAGCTTATACATTTAATAAATGATGGTAAATTTTATATTCATGGACAAATTATTAACAGGTGCTCTCATTCAAAGCTTTTACCTCTCTCCCAGAACGCTTCCCTGCTTCCCAGCCCTTTCATAGAACTCTCTTTAAATCACGTTTCTAATACATCTTTCTCAGGCGTATTCCTCAATACCAGAAAACCTAACATCATCGAGAATTCCCAAAGGTGCTAAGTTAAAAGTGGCTATCTCTCTGATTTCATCTCCTCTATATTGAAAAACTTTAATCGTGAGACGGAAGGGTTTAAATTCCTATTTTTCGGCTATAATACCTTTAAATTACCTGATAAATCCTTAAGAATTTTTTTAAATCAACAAATAAAGATGCCTTCTGAAACGTTTCTCCCATCTACAAAAGTATAAGGGTCTCACAATTTTTTATAACAAAAAAAAGCTTCTCCTATTGAGCTTAACCAAAGTTATTTTAAAAAAATCAACTGTTTAAATATTAAAGGTGCTCTTAAATTGGCCTCTTCTTATGATTCACTAGTTAACCACTCAAATGAGACATACATAAAACTCCTTTCAAAACACCCTTCTACCACTTCAACACCAATCATCCAACAACCTTATTCTCATTATGCTTCCGATTTCACTTCAGACGAAGTAAGGAAGACAATCCTAACTTTCCATCGAGATCACGGCCTAGATGGGGTCAAAGCCATATTCCTCAGGACGCAATTTCTCCATTGATCATCTCAAAAATTTCCATCCTTCTTAAAATCACAAACTTGTGCAACCGAATCATATGGTGATGTTCCCAGCTTTGTCTCCCCCTTTCTTTTTGCCAGACTTATAGCTTTACAGAAGCCTAACAAAGATATCAGAACAATAGATATTGGTTCAACTTTCCCCACAAAAAATACTCTCAGCCTAGGTCATCCAAAAAGGTGATCCCCTAGGATCCCTTTTATTTAGCCTTACATTCAATAATATAATTCAAACCATTAATTCAAAATGCACACATTTACTCCACGTTTGGTATTTAGGCGACAGAATTATTAGTGGACCTCAATTGGAAACCAATAAGGCCGTACACATTATCAAGAAAATGGGATGCGTTTTTTGTCTTATTCTCCTTTCTCCACTCTACACTTGATATCATTCATAAGCTTGGTGACCACTTTGACTTGCTACCCTCGCATAAGTCATTCTTCCTCCTTAAAAACTTCTTTAACATTCCACGTATACTATATACCCTACGCTCATTTTTAAATATCCTATCCCTCTCAGTATTTATGAAAAAGGAAGAAAAAGATCTAACCGAAAGTATTTTTAATCTAAAATTTAATGAAAAAGCTTGGGCTTTCAGGCTTTATTACCCACCAAAAGTTGTGAATTAGGGATTCTATCTCCCATCGATCTTGGTCTCACTTCCTTTATTTCGAGCAGTCTACTTTCTAAACCTTAGATGATGCTATCCTGCTATGCAGCGTCTACATGCAGGATTCACTGGATGCAAGCCCCCTTCAGAAACCTATGCCTACTCCCCTAAAAAATTTTGACCACCTTCAGTGGCGATATTCTTACATTATTAATCACACCTTTTTAATTATAATGGTACTCCCTTCATAAAAAAGAATAACTTCAATTATTTTAGCTCTACTACCAATATCTATTGTGAATATAAAAGAGTTATTTTTAGGATCATGAATTTAATTGAAGCCCCCCCCCCCCTATCTACAATGAATGAAATATTATAGTACATTGTTTGGCATGAATATGATTTAGAATGTCTAACCCTTTTAAATTTGCTAAGAGATTCAAATTTATAGCTTATTTTTATAACATATTGATAGAAAGGAGATTATATTTTACCAACTAACCAACGATGCGCTAACCCATGCAATAGGAATTCGCCTAAATTGTACAATAACCTTTCCTCACTTCTGCGGATCTCACATCCGCAAGCATACTGGAGAAGGCTTTTCTCTCAGACAGAGACTATCCTTAAAGCGAATCAAAGTTTCAATGGCAGTCTTCTCTCCACAGATCTTCTCTAGACCCACCTTTTCTTCCTTATTCTTATCATTTTACACTTTTCACCTTTATATTATTTAATTTGGAATATTTTTTTATCATATATAAATTTTGTGTTGACATATTAATATTAATAATAAAAATAATATATCAAAAAAAATACACAATATACAAGCTTTTAAAAATATAAAAATATTATATTTATTTAATTATCAAGTTAATTTTTTAGTGGCATTTGTCTATTAGGAAGCCCCCGGTCTTGGCTACCCTTTATATTTATTCAGAATATTGGGCCTATAATATATTTTTGTTTATACAAAAAATTATCCATTACATTTTATATCAATAATAATTTATAACTATTTTATAAAGCTTTTTAAATTTAGTATTTTTATTATTTAAGTAATACGTGTTTCTGTTTTATATATAGTTGTATAAAATGTATTTATTTTATAAAAATGTATAATATCATATCATGTATATTTTAAGCTAAAAAAAGAAAGAAACTGATATTTTAAATAGGCAAATATATTTATATATACGTAAAATTGTAAATATAATAATATTTTATAATTAAATGACAAACGAAAAAATTCGTTTATTTTAAATAATCGATAAATAGTATACTGCTTCATAATGAACTTACCTACATACCTTTAATATTTCCAATAAAAAAGAGTTTTAACTTCATTTTCTATATTGTTTTTTTTATTACCCTTTAAAAAGATATAACAGGTATATGTATATAAATTAATAGTTATCGAATATGGTTTAGTAAAATGCACTATATGTTTATATATATAACAAACAATAATTTACGTTATTATTCGGTATTTTTATATTATAATATGGGCTTGATTTAATTATTTTTAAATTACATGGTAATAACTAATAACAGAGAATGCGATTTAAATTAATTAAATTTTACATAAGCAAAAAAAACGAAATTTTAAACAAATTTATGACTTAAAAATATCAATAATATCGCTTATAGAGAAGAGAACTTAATCTATCATCATTTAGGATATAGGAGAACTTCATAACAAAATCATTAAATTAATAATCAATTTATTTATCTCCTAAATCTGAATTATTTATATATTATAGTTTATATATTCTTTTTATAAGCATAAATTTAACAAAAAAATAATAATATTTACAAAGTGTTGAGACCGGGGAGAATCTAAGGTATATATTAAAATGACAATTGCTGCAAAAAAAATGGAAAGGGCTTGATTATTAAAGAATATCGAAGAGTATTTTTTATAAAATCTTTAATCGCAAAACTTTATTTATTAAATTTTCGAAAAATTTCTTATTTCTATTTTGCTTGAACATTACCCTGAGAATTTAAAATAGAAAATGATTTCGTTTGCTTATTATGAAGTTAAATATTAACAAGAAGATAATCAAAGTAAATTATCTTATATATTTGATTCGATTATCATATTTATTATTATTAATCACTCTTTGAGCTATTCGGTAAATATTTGCATTTTCGGACGTTAAGATGCTATGCGGTTCTGTATTAAGGAATCGATTGAAAAATGTGAAATGTTCGAAGGTTTGTCCGGCCGACTCGAATCGTATTTGAATGGCAATGGATTACAATGTAAAGCTTCAGAGGTAGAAGGATCAGACCAAGGGGCTAAGTGATAAAGGGGTAAAGTATTAAAGGATTGAAAGTTGGGCGTATGATGAAATCTGTTATCTTCGAGCCTATCAGCGGTAGGCGACAAAGATCGTTTCGAAGACGGTTCGGTTTTAATGATGCTCTCGATGGAGAAGCCTAAACTCTGTTTGATAACATTATGGCCTTCGTCATGCCTTTGACTTGGAGTGTGATCGTTTTTTAAAGTTGACAACGTTACTTTTGATACCTTCAATAAATGGTTTTCTCTGCGGCAGTCAGCATTCTTGCTATCGTGGTTAGATGATGATAAATGAGTAATGGAATGTGAACTACGATTATGAGAATAAGGACTCTGATTTTGTTGGATATGTAAGTTGGTATAACATCTCCCTTTAGCCACATTGCGGATATATTTTGTTTTGCGATCGTTTTTATAATTAGCGTCGCTTAACATTGATGGGGCTTTTGTATGAGACAATTGACGGGCAAGATACCGGCTTTGGTTCGAATTCCTCCAGTATTCTTTTTCCAATAAATTGTTAGTCAAAGATGACTGAGATGGTGTTTGATGAGGTGGCTGGTAAAGTCTTGGTAATTCATTTAAGTAGCAATAACAATAATAAGGCACACAGCTAAGATAAGGGTGACCAGTTGCTTGGCAATATTCCTCTCCAGGTAATGTTTTAGTTATCGAGTTCAAATCTTTAATCGTTGAAATAGTATTTACGTTCGATTTTATTTTGATAAAATTATCCGTCAAATCGCTAAAATACGTGGGAATGTTAATTTTATTTGCGGTTGAAATTGGAACAAATGAATCCATTTTATCCACCGTATTACCTTTGGCACCGAATTTAAAACGTTTTCGCCTTCGTAAAAAGCTTCCGTTCTCGAACATATTGCCGCACTTTGGGTGAAGAGCCCAATAGCTCCCTTTGCTTCCGCTACCAGCCCCAATATTTGCGGACGGAATAGTGGGCCCAACCTCATCTCTGGGAGAGTCTTGTCTTCTGGGAACCCTAACGAAGCAATCGTTGAAGGAAAGATTATGGCGGAGCGAGTTTTGCCATTTACGGGCGTTCTTGCGGTAATACGGAAACCGGGACATTATGAATTTGTAGATGTCACACAACGGTAACATCTTTTGGGGTGAGCTTTGAATTGCCATAGCCGTTAGACTTATGTAAGAATAAGGGGGCTTAGCACCGCCGTATGTTTCTCTTAGTGGTCGGGGCATTTTACGTTTATGGTATACTTTTTTAAAGAAATGATCAGGACTATGAAATATGATACATATTGAGTGATAACGTTTTTCCTTTTTGGATATACAAAAAAAAATAACAAACACTTCTTTTTTCTTTTTTAATATAAAATTAGGGTTTTTTTTAATGATTTTTAAGTATAAATAATAATAATAAATGTATGTATTATTTTAATAATTAGATTTTTAATTTTAAATATATGGCGAATTTTACATTATTTTATAATATTAAATAATTTTTTTTGAAAAAGTAAAATAACGTATAAAAAACCCTCCCATATTTTATTTTTGATCATCAACCTTTTTAAATGGATATTTTTCTTTCATTAGGATTATTTAGTATTGTTATGGTATTTTTTAATTATGCAATTTAATTTTTAAAAAATATGCTTTTTAAAAAATGTCTATTATTTTCTAGACTTTTTAAGTGTTTATGAAAATTCTATCCCTTTTTAAAAGAGATCGTCTTATATTTATTTATATCCTTCATCATTCTTATATAAACTTTGCAATTTATTGAATAATTATTGTATATATGTTTTATTTAAATTTAAATAAAAAAACATCTTTCATAATATATAATAAAGTAAATAATATATACTAAGTTATAATTTTTTATAATGTATAAAATATGATCTAATATTAGTATTATGTATATATAAAGAGTATATACAATATACATACCTATAGCATAGCAAATAAGATAGTTTAGTATAACTAGTAAATATAACAAATAGAATAAAATGATGGATGATATATTGTAAACAATTAATTTTTAAATATATATAATTTAAATAAATAAGTTGATTTTAAAAAAAAATATAATTTCCCTTTTTCTTCTTTCAAACAATTTGCCTTTAAAAAGTTAAAATATAATCATATGATTTTTGAGTGTTTTATCTTTTTTAAAAATTGTGAAATTTTAATTAATTTCCAAATTTTAATTAATTTCCAAATTTTAATTAATTTCCAAATTTTATCAATATATAAAATAAATTGAATTGATAATATATTACGTCGTAGAGTATTAAGAAATTTTATATAAACCTGTATTGTACTAGGGTATGACATAGAACATCGGCTTTTAAACCCCCCTCCAAGCTAATGATTATATTACATCCCCCCTCTGTTCCTCGAAAACTTTACAACTTCCTAGCAAATCTAAATTAGCAAAAAAAGAAATTAAAATGGAAGGGGGGGGTGAAAATTATCAAAAAAGGAAACCCAAGTCAAAACTAAGCCCTTCCCTATCCCCTTTAATTTTATTAATGACGATAACGACTTCATAAATATGTACCCCCCTCCAATTTCAGTAACGATCTTGCATCATATCTCTCTCCAATTAGATTTAAATCTTTACGCATATTGAATGTTTTGAATTTGCTACACTTTTTCCCAGCATTAGCAAAAAGATAAAAGAATTATTTAATAAAAATATTTTATTTAATAGCCCAAATGTTTTATTTAAACCAGGCTGATAATATTTTTCAGCGATCTATGAAGAGTATATTAAGCCAAGGAATAATTTTAGGAGATCAGGCTCCTACAAAATATTTTCTGACTCCCAAAACAGGTAAAAAAAAAATTTCAGGTATTTTTAAATAAGTGTAAAAAGTATAAATATTACAAAAATAATAATTAACCAAATTCAAGTCATTTACATTTATTACTAAATATTTATATTTCACTTTAATAGATTCGATATGTAAACATAATACCTAATAAATATTTTAGCTTATTTCGCAAATCACGAATCTCATTTAAAAGATGGCGAACTTAGATTTATTAGCGCATAAGAAAGAGATAACCGGAAGGGGGGTAACACAAGATTGAAAGTGTGAGGATGGGGTAGAGGGTAAGAATTTTTTACGGGGTGTGGGGGGGGGGGTGTAAAATTGTATTGGGGAGGAAGGTGAAGAAATCATTAGTTAAATTAATAATATCCTGTATTCGTAATTTTGAGACAACAGATTTAATAAATATTTTTTTAAAATTAAAATGATTTTAGAAAATCAAATTATATAGGAAGGCATTGCAAAATAAAATCTTTGCAAAGTACATATTTTTTTATTTCTCATTGTTTTTTACTTTTCATTTATAATTTCATGGTTCAGCATATTTTCCCATTTATAAATTTTGGAGGGTGGTTCAAATACTTGATTGACCCTCCCCCCCCCTCCCCCACATCACCTTAAATATTCAAAGGACTTTAGAGTAATTTACTTAAATTATACTTTATTTTTAAAGATCAATTTATAACCGATAATGTAAATTTTTTTTTTAAAAAAAAGACTAACATAGACACAATTATAAATGACAGCCATCCGTCATTTTAATTTTTTATATCTTATGTTAACTTTTATGAAATTGTGGACACAAATAAAATGAAAGTAGTACATTTTATTTATATATATTTTTATAATTTAAATTATAAAGTGTAAAAATAAAATTGACTTTAATTGCCTCGGGTGGACCATCATTTTTCAGAAAATACGTAATAATGATTCTTTTATTTATTTATCTTATTCAGTAATGTGCTCAATTAAATTTAAAAAAATCAAAATAGTAAAAAGAGTTAAGGCTAGGTTTATATGAATTATTAAATGATCCCCCCCCCCCCCCACATATTTTGGATATATTTTAAAATATTTCCTGGTTTAAATTTATTTTTCTAATTGATAGAAAAAAAATGTTAATGTCTAAATATCAATGTCATGTCACGTTTGTCACAGATCAAAATGAAAAGTCCGAACGTAGTCCATTCAGAATTTTGATAAGGGAGGGGGTTGGGGCACTATTCGGTGAGTTTTACCCCACAAATTTTATTGGCGGGCTTTAGGTTGACTAATTGTAGACCTTATTGTACATTTTTTAAATAATTCTGGGGTTTCACTTCCTTCATTTAACAAAATGCCTTTTTTTATAATGAAATTATTAACTTTTATTTTATTTCTTTAAAATGATTATTTATACCTTATAGAGGCATGTTGTGTACATTTTTTGCAGGGTAGTGGTTGTAGGTGTAGGTGTAAGGGGGAAGATTTTATTCGCTTGAAACAATATTTACGAAAACTGGGAAATTTCTGATGGGGAAACGTCTCGCTTTCAGCACCCCACCCCTACACCCGCATCTCGCTAGGCCTATGCACATGTTGAAATAAATTTCAGGCAGAAAACAGATTTTTTTCTCAAATTTAAATTAAAAAAATTGTAATCTTTGATAGTTTATAAAAAATTATAAAATTTTACAATCAATGATCATAAACACCTTATATATATAAATCATTGGCGTACCCAGCGGGGGGGGGGAAATCCCCCCTCCCAAGCCAAAAAATGCAGATGCCGGATATATTTTTCAAAAATATTATTGTTTATATTAATTTATATTTGTTAATATTTATTCGTATCTTATATTAAATATATATTTAATTACATTTATTATTACATTCATAAGTTATTTTATCAATTAATTTCGATTTCAAGTTTTCCGGCGTAATATTTACTTATTATTTCCAAATTTTTAGTGACGTAATATTTATCTACCATTTTCAAATTTCTAGTCAAATAATAATTATTTCTGAAACTTACAGGGAAAAAGAAATTGCAACCTTGTCCAACGAGATAGAGTCTCTGCCATCAAGCAGTAACAGCTTTTAAGGAGTTAGAAGAGCCAATTATTTGCTATTACTAAGATATCACAATGGCCTGAAAGAAATATTTCCTCAGAAGCAAGAAAATTATTGGATTCAATACTTATTCCAAATTTTATTTCTCATTAGAATGTATTATTTAATTATACAACTATTTTAAGTATTACTTTTCAAAAACATGACATTGACTTGATTAAGAAGTTGAGAATAGCGGAGAGCATTTTATCAGAACTCAAGGAAATTAGGGTTAATGTTGATGAAAAATTTCATATTTTATATTTTATTGTTGAGTCAAAAGCAGAGCTATACGTGTTTAATATTTGTCTCCCTCGACGTAGCAAGGCAAGCTCATCGTTAAAACATTAATATAGGGTCAGTAGAAGAGTATATCTTAGATACAGATACATTTATAACCCAAATAAATAAATTTTAATTCATCATGCAGCACTTACTAATCTGCAAATATTACTTCCACAAAAACCTTCCCATCCTTTTTCAGATGGTGATAGAAAAAAAAATATTTGTTAGATTTTTATTATGAAGATGTTAAAGTATCTTATGATGCCTTACTAGCTGGATAACTATGTTTATAAGATTAACTATGGTTGATATAGTCTCAAAAAATGCTATGGATGCTCTGCATTATTTCAAACACATTTTAGATTAAATTCCCAATGTATTAAAAGGGTTTATAAACTCTTCCTATTAGTAAACTAATGAGAGAACATTCTCTTTTTTAAGAAGAATAACAGAGACCTGCTGAAGTACCATTTGCAGGGCACGGCCCGGATTTTTTTAAAAGACTTTTTACTGCCCGGCCTGGGTTTTTTTTAAAAATTTTCAGGCCCGGCCCGGGTATATTTAAAAATATTAAAATACAATACTGTCCGGCCCAGTGGCCGGGCCTGCAGATCTCTGAAAAACATACCAAGAAGTACAACATCTGAAGGTAGATTGAAAGGTTTGGATCTATTGAATATTCATAGGCATTTGACTACTCCCAACGAAGATTGGATTTTACATTGTAAATATATAACATACATTCTTAAGAAACTTTTTGTGTAAAAGCTCAAAAAATTCAAATTTCTATTTTGGTCATTTAAGTGATTCTTTACTAATAATTTTTTTTATAATTCACATTAATTTAAAATTTATGCTTGATATTTTTAAAAAACAATAATATTTTTAAAAAATTTTATTATCCCCCCCCCACCCCAAACAAAATTCGTACGCGCCTGATATAAATAATAAGTAACAATCGGAGAAAGATCCCCAAAATAAAAATTCCTTATTAATAAGAAAAATAAAGACAAAAATCCTTAAAAA